AATATATTATATATATAGAAGAAAAAAAAATTCCTGTTACTCGCAATTTTTAAATGAAGACAATTTGTTAAATGTCTTCTGAGGGCAATTCAATAAGATTTTTTTTCATAAATCAAGTTATACTATTAAGTTACAGAAATCATGAGAAGACTATAACATCCGCTGATGACACTAATACTATGTTGAATATATTTATATAACGGAGGTTTCATTATGCATGCCCACATTACAGACTCCGTTAAATAAATACTAAGGCACTTTTAATTTAATGACAGTCTCTATTTTTTTTACTAATGACTATGTACTTTTCTATATAAAATAAGACAAACTAGTACATAAAAACCTAGTATATTTCTGTTCTCTCAAAATTGTTTAAAGTTCGAATATAGATTGTATTTTGAAGAACATAAGATTTACTTAAAAAATTTTAAATCCATCGGGACTTTGCCGATGATTTTCAAATTGAAACTATCACAGAAAAAGATATTTTACGTTATTAAAATCAAATGTAAGATATGTGATCTTCATCAAAATTAAAAACCAATGGTGCCGTATTTGCAGTTGCCTTACAGTTTATAAATGATACAAGTTATATTAAAATATTTTAACTTGTTGGTATATTTTATTTAAGTTGGTATATAAATAAAAATAAAAATTTTGTTCAGTAAATAAATTAAATTTGTTCCTAACAAAGATTACCTCATATTTATTCTTTTTTATTTTATTATTCTAAACTAATTTGCTTCCAAAAAAAAAAAAAAAATAAATAAAGAGTTTTGTAATTAGAATATATAGAATGAAAATACTTTTGTGTTTGTTTATAAGTTAAGGAACTTAATTTTTAATGTTTATAATAAACGTTCACTAAAGTTTGTTCATTAAAAATTAAGTTCCTTAACTTATAAACAAACACGAAAGTATTTTCAAATGATTAAATATACTTATTTTGTTTTATTTTAGTTTTTCTTTAAGTTTGCACGAATAATTTTGTTTTAAAAATAGTCAACGAATGAGTTTGCATAATTAAGACTTTCATATTTAATTTAATTTTTTTTTTTTAATTTCATAAAATTCAAAAAAAAAAAAAAAATTTAATCGTTAAAAACAATTTTTCCCTGAAGCTCTTTGTATTTTGTTTACAATGTAAAAAATTTTTACGATAATGTTATACATTTATGAATTAAATTATTGACAAACGCGTTCTAAATTACCTATAAAAATATGCTCAAAAGCAGACATTATACTTTTTTATATTATACAACGCAAGTTAAAACGCAACAAATTTAAAAAATACTCAAAAACCTGAATTATTCTTTGCTAGTCAAAACAAAATCGCTGTTTAAATTATTAACAAGGGTTTTTGTTTATCAATATGTGAATATTTTTTGTTTACTTCCGAAATTTTTAAAAACACTAAACGTCTATAAAAAAAAAGTAAAGATAGTTTTATGACGTCAAATATCACGTTGAGCTAATGCCTTAAGCACTTTTTTATTTAAAACAAGGCCTATATATATATATATATATATATATATATATATATATATATATATATATATATATATATATATATATAAATACATATTTTAAATTCACCTCCTCAAGGCCGAGAAGGCCACTACAGACGAGGAGGCTACTCATTTGTGGTTATAACCCTCTCTCAACTCTATAACTCCGAAACACGAACCTTGACGAACAAGGCCGCTGCGCAGAGAAACGAGTTGATATATATATACATACATATATATATATATATATATATATATATATATATATATATATATATATATATATATATATATATATATGTATATATATATATATGTATATATATATATATATATATATATATGTATATATATATATGTATATATATATATATATATATATATATATATATATATATATATATATATATATATATATATATATATATATATATATATATATATATATATATATATATATATATATATATATATATATATATATATATGTATATATATATATCAACTCTCCGAATTAGGAAAATTGAGGTCGGCAATAATTTGCCAACCTCAATCTTTTAGAGGTTGGCATCAGGTCAGCAAATACAAAGGTCTTACCATAAAACATCGAAATGACCCTAATTCTGAGGGTTGATATATATATATATATATATATATATATATATATATATATATATATATATATATATATATATATATATGTATTTATATAGCTTGTGTAAAAACCAAAAGCTCTCATAAGTAGCCGTTTAGAGATACAGCTTGTATGGTTGGCTATTTTATATATATATATATATATATATATATATATATATATATATATATATATATATATATATATATATATATATATATATATATATATATATATATATATATTATATATATATATATATATATATATATATATATTAGGGCTCGAATTAAGTGTATAATGAAAGTATAAAAAGCAATCGTGATTGCTTTTTATACTTTTGCGATTAGTTTCTTAAAACATATTTTCGCGATTGGTTTACTTTTTTAGTTATTTATTTACTTTTTTTCTAATTGTTTTGCCATTATACTTCCAGTTATAAGGTTAATATTAACCTTACGAATTTGCATAGTTTTTTCTGTTGAAAAACCATCTGGTTTCAGTAATAAATGTTTTCGCCTACCACAGAGTTTTTTGAACTCACACAATTAGATTAGGTTTTCCCCTTTATATTTAGTCTACAATGGTTATAATAACGTTCGCTGTAGCATGTCTTTGCTCTTTGTTTAGTGTATCGTTAAGTGTTTGAGTTAAATAAACTAGCATAATAAAAATAGTAATTTAGGTGAAGCAAACTTTAAAATACACAAGATGAATATTTTTTTAAGAAAATAAGTAATTATTTTTTTTTATATACAACACTAAGTACAATATCGTCCAATAATTTTAATTTTGAAAGTTGAAAAATCCTAATTTTTTTTATCAAATTGAGGAAACCGTTTTGAAAATGATCTTATGTATATTAACTTATGCTTATAATAATTTATATTTCTAATCCAAGAAATTGTTTTTAAAATGATCTAATACATATTTTTCAGATGTATATAAAATTTATATTAAAAACTTGAATATTACAATTTCGTTTAACTGCTAAAAGGGAAACCCCTGGAATTTAATTTTTTTCAAAGAAACTTTTTGTATTGACATCGCATTAATCAGACCTGATTTAAAAATTAAAAGTAGTCAAAAAGCCGGAACTTTCCTTCGCCAGAAAAAAAATGGTGTTAAAAATGAAGAAATTTTTTGTTAATATATTATTCAATAATTTGTTTTGGAAAGTTTTATTAACTTTTAACTTATTTTCTAATGTTTATCTATTATATGAACACAACTTTTCTAGGCACTTGGGGATCCCTTTAACTATTATATTAATTTATTTAATATACTCGCAAAAGTTAGCCATAGACATATTTCAATTTAGATCTTACATGTTGTTAACACATAATATAAGTTTTAAACTAATAATTATTTTAACAAAAAATGTTGAATAGAATATGAAAAACGCGACACTGTATCTTTATATTTTCATTTTATTTATAGCGACATCTAGACTAAACATTTTCTATAAATACGCAGGTTGTTTTCATGAACTTTATTTAAAACGACCTTAAAATTCACTTATTCAAATAATTTTGTGATTAAAATTTGAAATTGAAAAAAAAATTTAAAATTTAAAAAAAGTTTGACGAAACAAGGGAGAATGAAGATGAAAGTTTTATTTTCGTTAATCGTAAATTTTGTTAACGTTTTGAATTGTATATTTTTTCTTGAAAATAGTTTTAAAAGTACAAACATTTTATTGCAAACATCAAAGCAGCGATTGCAAATTGCAACTTAAAATAAAATTATAAAAATTTCAAATTAAATTTAATAAATTATTTTACTTTTGTTCAAAAAATATTTTTTCTAAAAAAATAATTTATGCATACTACTACACAAATATATATAAAAATAATTTATGCATACTTAATATAATTCAATTTATTAATCAAAATTTTTAGTTTAACTTTTTTTTGAAAAACAATTAGAAAAAAATAAAAATTGAATAAAAACATCAGTTTAAAACCTTTTGAACGAAACCTTTTGAACCTTTTGAACGAAAAACTTAATTATAATTAAACTTCAAGTTAAAACTTAAGTTGTAATTAATAACAGTAACATACGCTATTTTAAACTCTGCCAAACAAGAAAATTATAAGATTATATTTAAATATGAGAGATAATATGTTAAAAATAGAACAATTACGTACAAAACTTACAATTATATACTAACTCAACTTCTCTTCCCCCCCATTACCGCAAAGTGGCGCAAGGTATAAGGGGGTTGGGGGTTAAATTTTTTTTTTTTTTTTGCGATTAGATTTTTTTCCGTTAAATCGAGCCCTGTATGTATATATATATAAATTAGATAGATAGATATTGAAGAGATTTTTTATAAAGCTTTTGGAAAAAACAGAAAAAATGATTATTAGATGGATATGCTATGTGACTTTGAAAGAATATAAAATTGAAGAAAAAGATTAGGTCTTGTGAATATATCTAATTAGGTGCGTCAAGGAAGATTTAGGTGGTTTGGGCATGTAAAGCATATGTAAAGCAGATACATATGACTGGTTATCAGCATGTAGAGAGTTAGAAGTTTCAGAAAAAAAAGCTAGAGAAAAACTTGGAAAGAATGTGTTTCAGATGATTTGAAAATGCTACATTTAAGGAAAGAAGATGTTCAAAACCATGTATGTTATAGAGACAATATATTATATATATATATATATATATATATATATATATATATATATATATATATATATATATATATATATATATATATATATATATATATATATATATATATATATATATATATATATATATATGTATATATACAAACACACACATATATATACATGAGAAAGAGAACTTAAAAAGTTGACATAAAACAAATTGAATTTTAAAATTACCTCTGGTAACATGACTGCATTGCGCAAGTTTCCAGAACCAAGAGTAGCTTCAGCATGCTTTAACAAATCATACTGATGAGTACCTTCTGGTATGCTTTTTTTTGGCTTAAATGTTTTAGTATTTTTGGAGCCAAACAGGAAACTCATCACAGTTTTCAACTTAACAGTTAAGACAGATTTTTTTAAATTTATAAAAAATTACATATATATATATATATATATAAATCTTTTAAACTCTTTAAATATGAAACATATTTAAATATCATACTATGATATTAAAATAACCAAATAAACTATACATAAACTCTTAATATTTTTTTTTATTTTAAAAAATTTTTAATTTAACTTTAAATAAAAAATGAAAAAAAGAGGTTTTGTTATGCACATTATTAACAAATTAAAATAAGTTATCGCTCTGGAAAAAAATACAGTTTTTTGTTGATAAAGTTGATTAATTAGAATTTAATTATATTAATTGAACTGAATGTTGAATTGCAAACAAAACTAATAATAATTACTTAAGTATTAATTATTATAAGATTAAAAATTGTCAATTGTTGAAGCGATTATAAATATATAAAAAAGAGAGTTTAAAATAGAGAATTTTAAGGCATAATAGTGAAAATAGTATATTTGTGTATTGTTGTGCTACAATTATGTGAAATAGTGAAATATAGGTAGTAAATAAACACACAAAAAAATAAAATAACAATTATTGTGCTTTCACAGAAGACACATTTAAAATTATAAATATAGATACTTATTTGTTAAGTTAGATATTGCTTATCCTTTTCAATGTTCTTATGATTTTACGGAGCAATTATTAACAAAATGTTTTTATATTGTAATATATAAACATTGTTGATAACTTCTATTTTCTTTGTTATGCGAAGATGCTCATAATATTATTATTATATTAATCTTGACATCAAATCAAGATTTTTGTTAAAACATCTTAATTAATTCAATTTCAATGAAATAGATCATGTATAGTTTCAATAATTTTGATTATAAATTAACAAAAAATAAAAAGCAAGAAACAGAAAATTGGATTAAAGTAACAGAAAAGTCTACATATTCACCTTTCTATTAAACTGTCTATTAAATCTAGTAGTAAATTTATTAGAGAAGCTAAATGTAGATTTATCATTGAAGTAAATATGTCTTGCGATTTTAATACTTGTAATTAGTAAGTTGCCAGTATTAAAATCGCGATGTTATATATATTTTATATATATATATTTAATAGACTTTAATACTTGCAAGTAACCAGTTACAAGAGCTTTGATAAAATTATTTTAAAAGAAATAAATTTAAAAAAGCAAACTGCGCTAGCCATAATAAGAAATGTTTTAGGTATCGAACCCACACACTTTACCCATCCATCGGAAGGTTTGCCATATTTTTAAAAATGCTCAGCGGTTCTATTTTCGAGACACGATACCACTTACGTGCAATTAAACGCGTTTGCAAGTAAACTGTGTTAATGCAAAAAGTTCAGACGTCAACAAAGTTGAAAGGAATTTATTACATTTTCTTAATATTTTTTTGGCTTCACAAATTCATTTAAAATCCAAGTATAAGTAAATATAATCAGTGACGGACCCAGAAATTGTTTTGGATGTTGATGCTAAAACATAAAATAAAAAAAGCTCCCATAATTGACAAAGGGCCTCTAAATTTTTAAAAACAAAACTTTTTAATTTTGATAGGGGACGAGGGGGAGGGGGTGAATACCAACTACTTTCCTACCCTTTATCCGTCACTGAATACAATAATAATCTCAAAAACCATAGCAATGTTTTTTGCAGTAAATTTTTTCAAACTAAATTATTTTTTTTTTAATTTTTACATCACAATATAAGAGAATGTTGTCTTTATGTAAAATTTACAAACAGTTAAAAAATTTCAAAATTTTTTCATATTTATTTTTTTATTTACTAATAAAGCAACGCGCGATGCTATAGTGGATTTATTACGCAAGAACTTTATCAGCGATACCCTTAAAATACTTATGCGCTAAGTTAACTGCTTTACGAATTAATACCGATTTAGATTTTAGATATAAAAATTTTTAAATATATATATTTATATTTATATATATACTGCTCACTAAAAAATGTTGAAGTAAATAATAAGTATAGAAATGATCGGTGTAGAACAAACTTACTAAGACACATATTTTAGGGGTCAGGACTTTAAGTTCTTTTTCCTCTTTTTTTTTTTTTTAATTATTTTTAGGTGCCTAAAGAAGACCTAACGGTCTTGTCACAGAGCACCGCGGAAGTGCAGTTTCTTCTTCTTCTTCTTCTTCTTCTTCTTCTTCTTCTTCTTCTTCTTCTTCTTCTTCTTCTTCTTCTTCTTTAGATTTTTTAGATAACATCGGAGTATAACATTCTTCTTCTTCTTTTTTATCTTCTTCTTCTTCTTCTTCTTCTTCTTCTTTAGATTTTTTAGATAACATCGTAGTATAACATTCTTCTTCTTCTTCTTCGTTTTGTGTAAGCAGCTTTGAGTCTCTTTAACACAGTTGTATGCCATACAGGGCCGACGACACGGGTTTCGAAGTGGTGGGGGGGGGAGGGGGATTGCCAATTTTTTTAAAAAGTCTTCTATATTTAGAATTTTCTTTAAAGAAATAATAAAATAAAAAAGATCCTTTAGAAATAAGGTGGGGGGCCCCTAGCCTCCCAGTGTCGTCGACCCTGCCATAAAACTGAGTACAGTATGCCACTAGCATCTAATATAAAACTGAGTACAGTATGGTTACTAGCATCTAATACAAAACTATGAATAGAGTATGTAACTCTTCTTCGGCAATTGCAAGGCACAAATACCATAGCATATGATTGAATTTCATGTATAATTCAGTAACAATAGAACATATATTCAATAAACGCTGTTGTGTGCGCCAAGATGGAGCAAGCAAATATTATATCATCTGCATACAGTAAGTTGTTAACAGGTGCAATTTGACAGATTTGATTTAGCAATAGTGTCGCTTATATCACGCATGTAAATGCAAAAAAAATAAGGAGATAAAGTACTGCTCTGTTTGGTACTATTCATTACTTTAAAACATCCAATAACAATGGTTTTCCATTACACATTAATCTTTTTAGCTTCGAAGGCTTCGAAGGCGCCAAACTTTTATTGAATATTATTTTTCTGAGAATTAGAATAATTATGAAAAAATTTATATGGATAAATTACTTATAGCTTTTTTTCAAAACTACTTACAAATTTTTTTTTTAGGCGGTAAAACATTAGGAACTTCAAACATCTTTGGAATACCCGCGCCCACCCTGGCAGTAGTCAACTACTTGCTTATAAACTGAGCATCCAAGACTATTTGAATAACCAGGTTTGAAATCAAACTGATATTCATAATTTGCTGAATTACAGGACTGAAAGCTGTAAAGGAAAACTCTAGAAGTTTGCAAAAGACAAATACCAATGGGCCACACATATGTTAAATAAAAATGTTAAATGCGCAAACAATTACTTGCCTCCATCTTTAAGAGCTTCAGCTGCTAAAATATCAGGCTCACTAGCTATGTTGACTATTAACCTAGTTATACATTTTTGCTAAATGCCTTTGCACAAAATGTCAACACAACATCATATAATACTGACATGTTAAATACAGATGATAGCAGATTTTTAAAATTCATGGCATGCGATCAATCTAGGATGATGTATCGTTGTGATCACTAATATAGGTAAATTGTTAGGGTCTATAATGTTTTAGTCAACTGCAATAGCACAATGGTGAGCTAATGAGTTTTATCTAAACTTGGGATTGATGTAGATTGTAGTAGAGGATTGATGACGGAAATTAAAATCTCCAGTAAAAACATAGCCATTAGCACATCCATCTAAAACAAGACCATCAAAAAAAGCACATACAAATTCAAAGTCCTTTTCATTAATTCCTAATGGTATCAAATGTACTAGTAATGGCTGGTACTTAATGTGTGGGTACCAGCACTTTTTATTATCAAGTTGCTTGAAGCTGGATAGTTTATAAGAAAAAAAAAGTTAACGCAAAAATAATAAAATTTAAAGTTAATTAGAAGCTATTTTATTTGAAAAATAAGTTTGAAAAATCAACATAAATATAGCACTTTCAATACGCCACTTTCACCAAGTTCAAGTTTTTAAGCTAAAAAGATGAACGGTTTTTTTTCTTAAAAACAAAATTCTTAATTTTTTTTTTCTATCTCAACCCAAGTAAGTTGCGATATTTAAAACCATGTTTTTTATAAATGTTTTATTTATAAATGTTCATATAATGTTGTGGCTTTTATGTAAAACTTCCAAATTTTCACCGGACCCAAACATGTCTAAAAAATTAAAAAACAAATTAATTACGTTTTATTATTTATGAAAATAAGCGCAAAAATGTTTTACACCAACCAAGTTGGCACGGACGTAAAAACGTTTTGGACGTCTTTTGAATGTCGAAAAGACGTCTTTTTTGGTCCTGTGCCCACTGGGAACACTCGCTTTCAAAATTCTTTGACTATAACTCACTCAAGCTAATGTTTTATAATGAATTAAAAAGTTAAAGTAAAGTAAGAATTCTATCTTAATTTAAACTTTTTGACTTGCAACTTTCAAATTTTGCATCTTATAGTCTAATATGGTATTGCAGCTTGAAGCAATTGATTTTTCCAAAAAATAAGTTGAAAATCACTAGTACCTAGTGGGTATATACCGGCATATAAATGGATGCTAATGTAAATGTGTTTTGCACCGCACCCATATTTAACGAACAGTTTTGATTCAGGAATCAATTTTATGGAACAAAGTATAATGTGTTTTTCAACGTTCAGAGAAAATTTGACTTGTGCAGTAGTCAAACTTATTTAAAACCACTGATTTGCTTTCTATAACTCAATGTTCATGTCTGTATATGTCAATTTTCACGTCCATATATAGTTGATTTATATAACTATTAGATAAGTAAAGCTCTTATTGTCTGGAAACATGAAAAAATTCTCTGATTCATTATAGAAATCATTTACATAAATTAAAAATACAAGCAGGCCTAGGATGGATCCAAATTGCTACTTGATTCTTATTTCTTACTTTTCAAAAGATATTTAGCTGTATTGAGTCTTCCGAAGCCAGTTTATTTCCTGGAGAACGAGTTACAAATGGATTCACACTCAGTCTGTTTATCTAATGACAG